CCCCCGGACCAGGCAGCGGCGGCCCGGGCCCCCGCGTGTACTTTCAGAGCCCGCCGGGGGCCGCAGGTGAGGGCCCGGGCGACGCGGACGACGATGGCCCAGTGAGACGCCAAGGGAAGGTCACCGTCAAGTACGACAGCAAGGAGCTGCGGAAGCGTCTCAACCTGGAGGAGTGGATCCTGGAACAGCTCACGCGCCTCTACGACTGCCAGGTGTGTTCCCCCTCCCCGCGCGACACCCCAAAGTCGGTCTGAGCTGTCCTGCCCGGGAGCCCCGCAACCTGTCCGCCTGTCATCGGAGTCAGAGGGCGCCCCGCTTGGGCGCGCACCGCTCTCCGCACCAACCTCCGCCGGGTGTGTGCTCTTTCTTATCCGACTTAAGTCTCTCTCTTACGCATCCCTCGTGCCACTCCCCAGATCCAGCGAGATGCCCTCCAACAAGCTTTGAGGGATGGCCCGGCATTGGCAGGGGTCAGGGCTAGCCAGGGTGGCGGTGGAAGGAGATGTAACGTACCTGAAGCTAGCTACCTTGAACCTCTATTAAATGAGCTGGTTGGGGTACTGTGGAGCGTCTTGATTGTTTTAGTGGGCTAGCCTGGAACTCCATTTTGGTATGTGGGCAGATTAGACCATGCTCTCTGGCCTCTGGTTCTCCACCCCATGACTCCCGATTTGCTCAGATAGTGACTCAGGCCCCAGGGGGCAGGGTGGGGGAGTGGGTTTGCTTGGTGCTGGTTACCCTTGCCTAGCCATGGAACGAAGCTGGCTCCAAACAGGGCAGCAGCTTCCTGCGAAGGAGGGGTGGTGGGCGTCCCCTTCCTCCCCCAAAGCATAGGCCCTTTGTTTCCCCTTTACCAGGCATGGATCCTTCCCCCTGACCCCTCACCCTTCACTTCCTCCTCACTCCCAGGAAGCTATGACAGGTGTTTGGGGGAGGGGAGGGGGCTGTGATGAACTGGGACAGCTGGCCCCCATCAGTGCTCTTAGTGAGATGGGGGCCCGGATGCTGGGAAGACACATCTGCTGGGTTCCCAGTCCAAGGTCCCCAGCCCTGGTTGTCTGGCACCCCGGGTGTCCACTGGCAGGGACAGGAAGCGCGCCCCCCACACACACATTGGGCAGTTTGCCTTGGCACTGGCCTGGTCTGTTTTCCTTCTCAGAGCAGCTGCCACCCTCTGCTGGGGAGAGGGCTGATCTGGTCCTGAGGCAGGCAGGAACTGAAACCTGCCAGCCCCTTACTTCTATCCCAACTCGGGCCCTTGTCTCTCCTTCCCCTACCCCACCCCAGGAAGAGGAGATACCAGAGCTGGAGATTGATGTGGATGAGCTCCTGGACATGGAAAGTGATGATACCCGGGCTGCCAGGGTCAAAGTGAGAGAAGTGTGGCTGGGGGCTGGGGCAGGGCAATGGGTGGGTGCTATGAGACACTTGTCTTTTGGGGAAGCAAGGCCCTGAAATAGGCCACCTTTGGGCCTTAGTTTCTGCCTCTGGAAACGGAGGCTGACGATCTTTGCCTAGCAGTGACATTTCCTAAGCCACAGGTGACTCAAGTCACTTGGGGGTGGTAGAGTTGAGCTCTAGGTGTGGATCCCTGGGAACTCACTGTATACTTATACCCCCAGGAGCTGCTGGTTGACTGTTACAAACCCACTGAGGTAAGTGGTTTCTGCAAAAGGTGGAGTGTGGGGAGCCTGGGCTATCAGCTTGGGAGCCTGTCACCCTATGTCCCTTTCCTACCTAGGCCTTCATCTCTGGCCTGCTGGACAAGATCCGGGGCATGCAGAAGCTGAGCACACCCCAGAAGAAGTAAGGGTCTCTGACCCAGGTGAATGGTGGCTCCCACAGGACAATCGCTGCCCCTCAGACCTCGTAGCAACAGCAATAACGGGGGACCCTGCAGCTAGGCCTGGTGCCATGAGCAGGACTCCCCGTGTCCCTGGCCTACGGGTCTCTTCCCTTGCCCCCTCAGTTTTCCATTTTTGGGGTTTTTTATTGTTATTAAACTGATGGGACTTTTTGTGTTTTTATATTGATTCTGCGGCACGGGCCCTTTAATAAAGCTAGGCTATGCCTTTGGAGCAGCTAATCACAGGCTTGGCTGGTCTTTTAGGGTCTTTTAGGCTTTCCTACAGCTACTGCCAGCTCAGCTTCCCAGGTGACCGCAGGCCTTTGAGGGCCACATAGCCATGGCAGTAGCCCAGAACTGGCTCCCAGACAGGCACTGAAAGTGGCTGGGGAGCAGTGTGGCAGGCAGCCCTTAGGACTTTTTATCCTCTCTGGAAAAGGGTCACCATGCCCATGAGCCCAGACCCTGATGCTCTGCAGTCAGAGGGGAGGCTGGAGCTGTGGTTTATGGGGGTTTGGAGGTAAGGTGCTGGGGTCATACCCAAGGCCTTGTATATGCTAAGCAAGCACTCTAGCCCCAGAGTTATACCCTGTTCCCTGAAGCTGTGGTCTTAGCATAAGTCTCTCAGGGCCCACAAAGAAACACATGTTCACTCCATGGACTTTTAAACATTTTTTTTGTTTTGTTTTGTTTTTTAAACAGTCTGGTCCCTCTTGGGGTCCCCACCCCCACCCCTCTTAAGCTGGCTACAGTTCTGACCGGCGTTCAATCTTGAGCAGCTCCACCTCGAACACTAGGGTTGCACCACCTGGAGGGAGAGGTGAGGTCAGACTGGAACCTAAGTTCCAGTGGAAGGCATGGGGATGCCAGAAAGGGTATTACCTGGGATTTTGGGGGGAGCTCCCCGCTCTCCGTATCCTATGAAAAGTACACAAAAAAAACAAAGTGAAGCCAGGTGTGGTGGTGGATGCCTACAATCACCTAGCACTCAGGAGGCTAAGGCAGGAGGATTTCCTGGAGTTGGAGGCCAGCCTGGACTATCTAACGTGCCCTTGTCTCAAAAAGCTAGAGAAAGAAGTAAAATAAGCCATGGCAAGGCCCACTTATACTTCAGCTCAGTGGAGCAGGAAAGGGTGATTCTTTGGTTTTGAGAGGACCAGAGTGGAGGGTGGGACAAATGAGTGAATGGCCAAGGTCTGATGGGACAGCTGCAGCACAGGCACTACAGCTGCATGCCCCACATCTTGGCATATTCCAGCTGCTAGACATAGCCAGCCTTGGGATAGGTACTAGAGGGAATAGATAGGGTGGAATCCATTGAGGCTGAAGACACTTTCACCCTTCATTCCACACACCCTGAAATCCCCATCCTCCTAGGAAGGGCCTCTCACCCAGCTCAGATGGGATCACCAGCTTCCGCTTTTCCCCTTCACACATCCTGCAGGACAACACATGCTTAGCATATGGCAATATCCAGGATCCTAGCTCCCCCAATCCCAGTTTGCCTCCCAGCTCACCTCCTGGATCAGGACCATGTACACCCTGGCCCACTCCCAGACTCACCCCAGCAGCCCCTGGTCCCAGCCCTTGATGACCTGGCCTGTGCCAAGAGAGAAGACAAAGGGCTGGTTCTGGGGTAGGCTGCTGTCAAACTCCGTCCCATCTTCCAGTTTTCCCTGTGGGATGATGGAAAGACCAATGAGGATGAGGAACCATTCCTGACACCCCTCATTCATCTGTTCTCCCCGTCAAGCAGGTCTCCACAGCATAGTGGCCATACTCCTTATAGGAGAATGGGGGCCTGCCCATTAGCTCAGGTGTTTAAATGCCTGCTGAAACAAAGCAGTCAGGCTCAGGATGCTGTGGTTCATCTCCTCATCCTCAAGCCAAACCAGACCTGTCCTGAAGGCATCCTGAGCGGCCCCCAAAAAAATCCTTACAGGAGAAGTCTTGGACAGTTTACAGTACATTGTCACGCTTGTTGGTATCCACCCTGGGAAGCAGACAGTGGCAAACACTGGAAACGGGTTTAGAAGTAAAAGGAATTCCTCTTCATCACTCTCCCGGCTGAGGGGACAAACTAGGTTCCCAAGTCCTTTTTGGCTTCCATAAACCCCACCTACTGAAAAAGCTCCACCCCCTCGCCCACTGTGTAGTGTCTCACCCACCGTGTAGTGCATGTGCAAGACGTCTCCCTTGCGCGATTTGATAGGACAGTGGTCCACCCGCTTCTTGACCCCGATCTGCAGCTTCCGTTTGCCCTCGGAGCCCGTGGCTATGGCCAGGGCACTCAGGCAGATGGACAACACTGTCAGGACCCAGCTCGGCCTCATGTCTCTGTGGGCACAGACCCCGACCGAACGACCGGGAGGAGGGTGGGGAAGGCATGGAATACAAACAGGACCCTGGAAGAATGAAGCCCCACCATCTGTTGCCTGCCCAGAGGTTCCCCTCATCCCAGGTCCCCGCCCTCTCCCAGGTCTCCACGGCCACACTTACCAGTCCAGTTAGAAGGGGGCTTGGCTGAGGACCCCAGCAGCGAGGGGAGGGGGTCAGAGGAGGCCACAGCAGCCAGGGCCCCGCCCCTCTGCTCACCCGCCAACCTTCCCTCCCTGTTGGTCTCCACCTCTGCATTTCAGTTCCCACCCGTCCCCTTACGCAACGTCCAGACCCTATCTGACTGCACAACAGTTGCCCCAACTGGGCGGCCCCACTCACGCCACACCCAGCTGCCCCCTGTCCAGCATACCAACACTTCTGCCGCTGCTGCAGGGGGTCGACCCCGAGGCACCCATACATCCCCACTAGGAGGTTCTGGGGAGCCCCGTTCCTCCGGAGGTACACCCCACCCCGGGCCTGTGTCTCCGCCCGGGGCACCGCCCCAGCTCTGGGCCCTTGGGGGCCGTCGGGGCACCCAGACTGGGCCTGTGTCGGCTGGCCGACGAGCCCGCTCCACCCACACCACCTCTCCGGGGGGAGTCCTTGGCCTACCACGTCCCCAGGCACGGCCACCACGGAGGCCGCCCCCGCGCGGACGCCCCGGGGCATTACTTGGGCTTAAACCTTCACTAGGTTCCTTGGTCCCGCCCCCTAGAGGGTGAAGCTCCGCCCCCTTACCCGCAGCTCCTCCCTCAACAGAACTAGATCCCTTTTCCTGAACTGGAGCCGCACCACTCACAGGATGAAGCCCCGCCCCAAACGCCTGGGTTCCTCCCCCGTCTGACGCCAAACACGAGGCTCCGCCCACCACCAGTTCCCGTTCCTCCTCCAAGAGCCACGCCCCACCCCCCAGCAGTCCTGGCCCCGCCCCCAAATGCCGAGCTCCTCCTTCCGTCCGCACCCGCTCGGAGGTCCCACCGGCCTTCGTCCCACGTCCCGCCCCGAGTCCCAGGGCTCCGCCCCGTGCAGGGTGAGAACCCTCCCCCTGCGACATCTCTAGACAGCTCCGACCCCAGTCTGGTCTTCTTGCCACCTATCCCCCGTCGGCACCCAGAGCACCTGCCCGCTCCTACCCGGCCTGATCCAGCCTGCCCTCCTGCACCCCGGGTCCCCCCAGCCCGGGCTGTGGCCCCCGCTCACCTCCTCGCCGCGCCCCCGGAGTCAACCCCGCTCGCGCAGCCGCCTCTGCGCAAGCGCGTTCCCTTCGCCGCGGCCGGGCCACGCCGCCCTCCCTCATTGGACCTTGCGAAACCCGCTGTGGCGCGGCTTAGTCTCTGACTCCGCCTCCATATCACCACGTGATTTGTCACTTCCGCCGGAACTGTACTCTGCGGGGTTTGGAGAAAGTGACTTCTGGAAAGGCCAAAGGCACTTCCGGCCAAGGTGACTTTCCGGTCAACCAGACGTGAATCCCTGGTGGAAGCCTTGGGCGCCATCTTACTTTGCCCCCAGCATCTCCTACCGACGTCCGGCCTGCACCAGGCTCCATTAGCTGCTGTAGAAAGAACTGGGTTTGAATTACAGGTCTGCCACTAGTTGGCTGTGTGACCTTGACCATATTCCTTCGCATTTGGTAAACATGCTTGGTGATACCCACCCTACAGGTCACCTGTAAAGCTGAGCCAAAGTGTAGTTTCAGGGCCTTCCTTTCTGAAACCCCAGCGGGAACCTGGCTCGCTTCTGGCAGTACACACGGTCAGGTTTGTAATTGTCAGGCTGATCCCCTTCCTACACCACTTATTTTCAGATGCCTCAGTGCCCACCAGTGCCCAATACTCTAGACATCCATTAGCAGATGTAACAAATTTGTAGTTGAGAGACGACTGATCCCACAGTGAGTGCTAGGGAGACAATTTAAGATGATGTCCCAGACCAGTTTGCCTTTCTGGGCCTATTTCCTCAGTTGTAAATGGAGGATAATCGTAACTTGGACCTTGGACCTCAGAACTGAGCATAAAACCAGGAGATGCATGTGAAACTTTGTGCAAGTTGGTCTGGTCCTAAATGGGTGCAGAGATGCTAGCTGTAGGTCCCAATGACAAAGCTGAGCAAATGTAATGGCTACTATCACCCATTGCCTCTTAAGAGTTTAACTCATTCCTAGCTTGGGCCCACCAGGATGGCAACCACATCCACAAAACCAGCACCTCATGGAAACCTTCATTAGGAGTGCTATTTTGGGCTCTGTTTCTGATTGTGCCTTAAGAGGGCAAAACACTAGTCCTTGAAGCTGGCCCGCAAGCTCTAGGGGCCAAGTTTGGGCCAGACAATTCAGGAGTCTCAAGCAGCGCCAGGAGAGTGAGCCTAGGGGCCAGGAAGATAGCTCAGTAGAACAAGTGCTTGCCTGGCAAGTGCAAGGGTCTGAGTTCAGTCCCCTAAAGGAGAGTGAGCCTAGAGGTAACAGGGAGGGGAAGGTGAAGACTAGGTTGGGGGGACAGGAGATTGTCTCCTACACCAAATACACTAGCCACAGACCTCTGGTATTTCCCTTTAAGGTAGGGGAGGAATGGGGGTGGGGAGAGGTGTGTGCCTTACAGGCCCTGCTACAGGGAGCAACAAGCAGCTGAAACTAAAAGTGCTGCCCTGCAGGGAAAATGGGTGGTCTTTTCTACTATGTGAAGACAGACTCAGATTTTTCTGGCAACCCAGCAACCCCAACCAAGCAATCATTTCCTCTCTCCATATGCATATATAGAAACTCAGGCTCAAAAAGGGGTAGCCAAGATTGTAGCACCTTCATGTAATGCTAGCTGCTTGGGATGCTGAGGCAGGAAGACCACCATAGGTTTAAGTCCATCTTGGCCAATTTAGCATGCCTGTGTCTCAAAAAGGTAGTCCTTGCCTAGTATGCACAAGGCCCAGGGTTTAATCCCAGCATTGGGTATTCACTTTAGTGCCACATATACTTTTTTTTAAAAAGGTGGGGGCTGGAGAGATAGCTCAATGGTCTAAGGGCCTACCTGGCAAGCAGAAAGATGAGTTCTATGCCTGGTACCGCCTGCTACGCCAAATCCCACAGCCCCTGAGTACACTGTGCCAGCCTGAAACCAGGCATGCTGGTGCATGCCTGCAATCCCAGTGCTGGTTTGGCCAAAACAGGAGGATCAGTAAGAGTCGGAAATGCTTAGTGAGACTCTATTCAATAAATAAATAAATAAGGAAAAAAATTAAATCCCAGCACTGAAAAATGAATAAACAAAAATTTAAAAGGCTAGAGATATGGCTCAATGGTAGAACACTCCTGGATTCAATCCCCAGTATCATTAAAAAAAAAAAAAAATACAAGGTGTTTTTTTTTCCGCTGTTTGTTTTAAAGAGCTGGGTATAGTACTGTACACCCGCAATCCCAGCACTCAGGAGGCTGAGGCAGAAGGATTACCCTGAATTCAAGGCCAGTCTGGACTACACAGTGAGTTATAGCAAGTCTCTGTCTCAAAACACAAAAGGCAGTAAGAACTAAGATCATTCAGCAGACTGGGGTTCTACCACAAATTCACTGGTCATAGGCAGTGATAAACAGGATGCAAGGGTTCACATGCTCAGCAGCCCCATCAGGGAAGTGGTGAATCATGATCTAGGCTCTGCCTGGGACCTGCTGGGGGACCTTAGGCCTCACTTCCTCCATCAGCATGGTGAGTGGACAAGACAAGCTTCAGTTCTAGGAGGTAGTGATGCAAACCAGCCAGCCTGGATAGTGACACAAAGTGACATAGGCAGGGACAGCTCCTTTTATCTTTTTTTATCAAGGTTGGGAGAATCATAGTTTCTATACCAAAGCCAAAATCCTGTTATTTTCAGAGTTGTGGGGCTTCCTTAGAGGAGGGAAAGCAGGAGCCAGGTGTAAAATGCTCACATGCACAGGGTAGCACAAATCACTCCCTCACTTAGGACTCAACGTTTCACACTGTCACCATCTCAACAACTCTGTCAAACAGAAGGCAGCCGCAGGAGACAAAGGACAGCAGAAGAGTCCTCTGAGAGGCCCAGGTTGTGGAGCAGCTTCCACTAGGACCAAGGTCTTATAGGTTGGGCTGTTAGCAGATTCCCCTTTCTTCTCCTATAGGTGTGATGTATGAGGCAAGTGACCCCACAGTCTGAAAAGCAATGTGTCACCTTCGCAGCTTCTGGCACCTGTGGAAGGAGAAAAAGGTCTGTTCTTGCTGGCTGAGCTTAGCCACAGCACCTATTGATGCACTCACATTAACTTGGGCCAACCCGTCTCTCCTGTCCCTCTTGGGAAGGCCCCTGACCTGGCTAATATGGCATCATCCCATGGCCTCACTGAGGAACATGGGATGGCTAAACAGCACTGCTGACAAAGGTGCCCAAAGGTTCCAAAACATCCCACGGTCTATGGGGAGCCTAGTGGGGCGATGTCTGTCAAAGGGGCTCCTAGAAAGGCCGGGCTCTGCAAATTTCCATTCTAGGCAGATGTCCTCTACCACCCGAAATGGTTGACCACTAAGAGATCATGACAAGGGGCCGGGGAGATGGCTCAGTAGAATAAGCGTTTCCCTGGCAAGCGCAAGGGCCTGAGTTCAATCCCCGGTTCCACAAAAAATAAAAATAAAAAAAAAAAGATGATGACAGATGCCCCTGCCACAGGCCTTGGCATCTTCCACTAGCATTACCTCTTCTGTCTCTGATTTGCCTATTCAGATGTGAGCATTTATAGTCCACGGTGTTTACACTGATCCCAGTACCAGAAGATGCTTGCTAAAAGTTTATTTGACACATTCAGCAGCTTCTCCTTCCTGGCCCTCTTCCCATTGGCAGGCTCACTCTGAACGTGCTCCAGGACACAGCTTCAGTGGCTTTTCAGGCAAGTGCCCTAATCCCTACCTCCCAGTGTGCTCACCTGCAGGTGTCTGGGTTGAGCTCTAAGCCCCGCCCTTGGCAACGAAGGAAGCTGCGGCGTCGGCATCGGCAGTGGCAGGTCCGGGGGTCAGGGCGCTGGCGGCGCTGGCTGCAACGTGGGCAGAGGGGCCTGGGGCTGGAGTGGGATGGATGATGTCAGCTGGGGAGGGTGCTCCAGGGGCAGGGTCCCAGCCCAGAACAGAGCGGGGCTGGGGGCGGTGATGGGGAGTGGCAACCCTAGGAGGAGAAGCAACATGTATGGGGAGGGAAGGAAAAATCTCCCCAGGAGTTAAGGACCAGCCAGGGTGCACAGATCTGGGGAATCACAGGAAGAGAGGGGGAAGACAGGTAGAGGGACACGTGGGAGGGACTAAAGTTCATGACTCATCTGAATAACCCCTGGCCCACTCATACATCCTCTCCTGGGTGCTGGGCCTAGGCTCCAAACCCAACCGTGGAGGAGCCGAGGGACTCACCTGTCTGGCTTCATAGCACTCTCTCTTTTTTTTGGTCTGAAAAGTAAGAATGACAAAGACAAAGAGAGAAGAAAGATCAGGAAAGCCAAGCATCCTACTCTCTGGCCCCATATCCCAAGCCGACCTCTGACTCCACTCTTAGACACCTGGTCCCCACTGCAGGGCACTGCCACGCCCAACACCCCCACGCCTGGACTCAGCAAGCTCAGAAGCAGCTGATCCTGGCTGGCACCTGCATTCACATTGGCTGTGTTCTTCCAGGGACATCTCCCCCAGCTGACTGCTTGGGTACCGGATCATGAGGATCTGTGCTCGGGAGAAGAACATGGAGAAATAGTGACAGGGCTGCAGACTGGAGAGAGAACGGCTCCTCCAATAGCCAGGACCCTGGTGGCCAATCTCCAGCTTCCTGTGTGCTGCTCTTTGAGCTGGCCTGGACCCCAGAGAACCAGTTTGCTTGCCCCACCTGCCTTGGTACCTGCATTCGGACTTGGTGCTGCCCAGTGGGCACACATTCCAGGCCGTCGTCAGGGCAGCAGCCACCACAGCGCTGCACAGTCACACAGCTGGGCACCAGTTGTTTGGCCATAGTACCCATGAGCTCCATAGTCAAGGGCACTACCACCTCCCGAGGCTGGCAGGTGGCACGTGAATACACATCTATCCATGACACCACTGTGGGCAGACCCATAAGGTTTAAGTCCTTACTGGGTTTCCTGCAGCTGCTCCAGAACCTGTCCTCCCCAGTCCCGGTGTGCCCCTCCACTATCCCCTCTACTGTCCTCTTAATCTGGTCCTGGCTGGCAGGACCTTTCCCAGACCTGTTTGTCCAGAACCCAGCAACCCCTCTGCCCCAACTTCTTCCTCTATGAAATGGGAATAATAATTTTCATCTTACAGAATTGTGGTTATGCAAGATGAGACATTCTGAGCCTGAAATCAGGGCATGGGGCAAACCCACTTAGTACTGGCTGATGCCAAGTAACTGTTAACTATTACCTTTCTTCTGATGGCCAGGGGCATCATGCTGGGAGACCGGGGCCTGTGGAGACAAGAGACCTGGACCCCAAGTGCACTCTTGGAAGGGTGGCCTTGGAATCTGGAACCTTCACCTCCTCTCTGACATCTTTCCAGATTGCTCTTTAGCCAGAGCCTCAGCACTAGCTTTACCTGTCTTCTCCTGCCAGGGCCCAAGACCTGACAAGCAAACTTAGCCAGCAGTGTCAAATCTCCAAGCCTCAGGGCTGGGCTTGCTAGGGGGCTTTCCATTCAGGTCAAGAGGACCCAGTGGGCAAGAACCAGTACCTGCGGAGCAAGGGGGTGGGGCGAGGGAGTGGCCCAGGGTTCGGCTGGGCAGCCTGCTCCGAGGGGCACCTCCCTGGTGATGCCTGAGCCCCTGCGGTGTCCGAGTTGGAGGCCAAGGCCGCTGGGCGCCTTCCCACTTCCGCCAACCTTGAGAGGGCACGGGGGTGGGCAGGCCGTTGTGGCGGCGTACCTGGGCTGGGGCCAGCTGCAGGAGCGCGGCGAGCAGCAGGCGGCGGAGCAGGGGGCGCATGGTGCCCATGGGGGCCATGCGCCTGGGGCGCCCGCATTGCCCTAGCCCGGCAGTGTTGGGGGCGTTGGCCCGAGCCCCATCTAGCAGGCCGGGGCGCGGCGGGCGGGGTCCGAGTGCGGGGGGCGGCTCCTCCGCGGCCCCCTCCCGAGCCCTGAGCGCAGGCAGTGCAGCGCGGCTCGGTGGCGGTGGCCGGAGGAGCCGTCCAGGCGGGCGGCGGACGGCAGCAAACAGCGGGCAGCGGGGACGGCGGGATGGCGGGACAGCGGGGGGCCGGGCCCGGGCTGGCGGGCGGGCGGCTCATGTGACCCAGACACGCGCTCCCCACCAGGCGCGGGGCAGGGCGGAGCAGAAAGGGGACGCACCGCCCAGAGGGCTGGGCTCCAGGGTAGCCAGGCCGCAGGGGGGGTCCAAGCGCGGGGTCTGAAAGAGCAAGTGGCACAGGAGCTCTGAGAACCGTTTTATTGCGTGTGCTGTGCGGAGCGTGCAGGCCCGGGCCTCAAGAGGCGGGAATGCCCTGTGGGCCTAGAGAGTCCTTCAGGGGCTAGCGCTAGGGGGCACGAGCCTTGAGCCCGAGGAAGCCCTGGAGGGCGATGGCTGCAGACCCGGGTGCTGCTCCTGCTGGAGCCTCGCTCTGTTGGCCCTGAAGGAGAAAGCACCACAGGGGTCGGGCCAGGGACCCTGGAGGGTAGTACCAGGACTGGCAAGGGCAGGATGGAGTGGTGACCGACCTGGCCCGCGCCCGTGTGTCATTGTAGATGGCGGTAATGATGCGGTCCTTTTCATCCATGAAACTGCGATGCAACTGCTCCAACTTCCTGCAAAGGGGTGAACTTCAGTCCCTGCGGTCCCTGTTGTCCTTCAATTGCTCCCTCCTCCACCCTGCTCCAGGGTCTCTCACAGCTTTCCATCAGCAGGGAGCTAGGTCTAGATGTGTCTGTGATCAGTGAGGAGAGGAGCATGGAGTAGCAGGGAGGGCCTCCCAAGGTCCAGTAGTGCCCCAAGCCCTTAGCTGTCCTGCTGACAGCACTGAAGCAGCTCTGGTCATGGGGGTGCTCCCCCAACAAGCTAAAAGGGTGCTGACTCTGTCTCTGTCATTTAACTAGTCAGGCTGCTGGCAGTGGGTGCTGGCTTCTGCCTATCTTGGCTGAATTTCCTAATCTATATCATGGTATGGATGAGAGAGTGGCCAAGGACACCAACAACCACAGGAGGACTGTTACTGGGAAGGCTCAGTTACAATGCATTTGCTTCTTTGCATGATGTTACTTGGCTCCAGCCTACCTGGCAGCCAGCACCAGATTTACATTCAAATTATGAAAATGCTAATATTAGCCCTCCTTGCAGTACCACCTTTACCAAGTAAAGAGAGGCTCCAAATGCCAATGTGGTGCAACTCTAGCTGGAGAGACACACACTGCAGGTTGTAGCATGCTGTGACTGGCTGACCACACTGGACTCCCCCAACCCCGCCTCTGCCACCACCCCGGGGGGAGGACACAGATGCACCTGAAGGCAATGTAGTGCAGGCCCATGCCTGCAAGCATGAGCAAGAGGCAGTACCCCAGCATCCGCTGGTTGTGTTTCCGCTGCTGCCGCTGTGATTCAGGCCCCTGTGGCTTCACACCATGAAACTGGGCCCAGTATTGTTCATTGGGGGGTGCCCAGGAGCTGCTGGGAGGCAGAGGGAAACATGTGGAGATGAGGTTGTCTTGGAGACTTGGAGGTGGCAGCAGGTGGGGACAAGATTGCTGTACCTGTGTGTTTGTCTGGCAGATCTAGGGTAGGCTGTGGTCCCTGGTGGTTTCGGGGGGCTGGCTGAATGTAGCTGGCTGTCATAGCTGCGGCGGCTCTGCTCATGGCTGAGCACATGATAAGCCTCATTCAGCTCTACAAAGCGGCTATGCAGGGTTGGGTTCCCAGGGTCTCTGTCAGGGTGTAGCTGGGATGGAGCAGGACTCCCCTTATCTCTCTTTCCATATCCCTTCCCAGGACCCATCCTGATGACATCTACCCACAAGGACTCTGTTGCTGTCAGAGACCTTACCTGGGCAGTGCACCCTTACTCTTACACTGGTTGACCCATGACAGCCAGAACATCAAGACAAATAGACTCCCACCCTCTACCCTCATATAAACTTCCCCCTACTGCCAGCCCCCTGCTCTCTCCGTAGGACACTATCCAGATTTCTCAAGAGCAGACAAAGTCAAAAAAAGCAAGCCTAAACTGGGTGTGGTAGAACCTGCCTGTAATCCCAGCACTCAGGAGGCTGAGTCAAAAGGACTGCTATGAGTTCAAGGTCAGCCTGGATTACATAGTGTGTTCAGGGCCAGCTTGAACTACATAGTGAGACTCTATCTTAAAAAAAAAAAAAGAAAAGAAAAGAAAAGAAAAGAAAAGAAAGAAAAAGAAACAAAAGCAAACCTAGCTCATGAGGCTGGAGCCCTGGCCTCTGCACCCAGCCATTCCTCCTACCTAGGCAAAGCCTTGAGCCCCTTCCATCTCCATACATCCTGAAGGAACATGGCACCAGCCAGGAAGTAGATACTGCTGGGAACTTGGAGTGCATCACTACAGGGCCCTCTTCCTTTCCACTTTGGAAGCACTCATACCTCTTTAGACTTAATGAAGAAAGCTCGTTTAACTTCTTCCATGCTGGCACTAGGATGCACACCCAACAGTTCATAATAATTACTCAGGCCAGACCTGTGGAAAGAGGGTCTAAATTTGCAGGGGCTAAGGACACCTAGAGGAAAACCCCTGCCATGGTCCTCCCAGCCTCCCTGAGCCACACCCTTCAACTCAGGCTTGAGGAGCTGAGGCAGTTCCAAAGATAGAGCTGTCCCCAGACAGAGCTTCCCTTTAGGAGTGTTTCAGGCATTGTCCAGATCAGGACTTCTCAAAGTGTAGTCCTCAGACGTTGGCATTATAGAAACCTGAAAGCTTTTATTGAGACAGTGTCTTGTATAGTCCGTGCTGAGTCTGAACTCACAGCAGTTCTCCTGCCTTAGCTTCCTGAGTCCTGGGATTGTAGGCGTGCACCACCACACTCAGATGAAAGCTTGTTTAAAAGAGCTTACCAAACCCTGAGGTTTCAGCTACATAGGAAGCTAAGACAGGAGAACTGCTTGAGCCCAGAAGTTCAAGGCCAGCTTGGGCAACACAACAAGACCCATGTCAAAACAAAACAAAACAAAACAAAACAAA